CATCCTTAAGCCTTTTAGCTCTCGCACGAGTCATAGGTCCAACTGGTACAACCAAGTTTTCCTCGGCTTCAAACTCTGGTTCAAGCTGCACTCCATGTTCCATTCCATCCTAAGGTAAAACATCCAGCTGGTCCATATCTGAATCTTGAAGCGTATCAGTCAACCATCTCATTTGATAGCTCTAGCAATTATAATAGTTGAAAAGGCTCACAAGTCACCCAACATATAGCCAAAGTTAGATGGTCTCTAAAGCAATATACATGGCGGTGATTTTATTTTGTCCAAAAAAAAAAAAAACTTGGTACTTTTATTTTAATTTTTATGTTTCGGAGTATTTTATGAACATCTTCGCTTCGTTTGGTGATGTTATGCAGTTTTAGATTTAGAATTGATCTTGAAGTTTATTGAAATCAAGGAACCTTTAATCAAATATATCAAAAATTAAGATTTTTATTTTATTTTAATTATAACATTTAATAACGAAAAAAAGAAAAGAATTGCACATGTTAATCACATAGAGTAAGATGTAAGAAAAAAACAAATTAAAGATTTTCTTTTATCATTAACGTCAAAGTTAGAGTTGACTTTTTGTGAATTAAAAGTTGATGGTTTTGAAAGAGGGAGAAGAAGGTTGGGTTTTGTTTGGCCAATTTTTTATGCTTACGGTTAGATTGTGAACTTAGGCTAATTATTATTATTCACAGTCCACAGACAAAAACGGGTAATTAAATATTGGGCCTAAGAGAAGCCCATTTAGGATCGTTGCCTATATAAGAAAAGAGCCGAATTGATTCTAGTTAGGGGCTTTAAACATTCACCATGAAAAATCTTGAGCAGAAGTTCTCGGGTGATCTATTAACCACCTCTCGACATGAAACACGATCTGGGAAATCGGCAAGAGAATACTCAAACCAAATTCCAGTTGATCGCCTTATCGATATATTCTCTAGAGTGCCAGCCGAGTCAATAGCTATATTGACAAAGAGCTTTTCATCTTCACTTCACTTCAACCTCAGAACCCACATGACAACTTATCTCTTGTAGCCACACGTTATCATAAGTCTTTTCCCATATATTTTCCTTCTGAAACCTGCAGTCCACCGGTCTGTGGATTGGTCCTTGTTAGTGGCTGGAGAGGAGAGTTTCCGGTGGCGGTGGTTTATAACCCTGTCACGAGAGAGTCTATAACCTTACCCGGACTTAAAGAAAATATGGGAGAAAGCTTTTTTGGCTTTGATCCGATCAACAAACAATTCAAAGTCTTGTGTGTGATCTGGTCAGACGATGGTGAAGGATCCGATACATATCGGGTTTTGACATTAAAGACTGAAAAACCTTCTTGGAGAAGGATCGAATGCGAACTAAATTTTTATCCTCCTGGTGAAGTATGCATAAACGGTCTTCTGTATTTCTCAGCTAAGTCCGAAGGATGTTATGTGATAGTTTGCTTTGACTTTAGGTCTGAGAAGTTCAGCTTTGTTAATATGGATGACCAAATGTTGCTAATGAATCGGTGTTGGAAGTTGTTCAACTACCAAGGTAAATTAGTTGTACATAAGCCTGACTATATTGGAGAACAAGTTATGTTGTGGGTTCGGGAAAAAGATAAATGGTCCAATTGTATATGCGTACTGCTACCTTTGTGGGACGAGGGATTCTTCGATAATAATGAGATTGTTGGAATGACTGATACAAGTGAAATTGTGTTTTCGCCATGCTATCTGTCAAACCCTTTCTACGTTGTCTACTACAATGTCGAGAGACAAGAGTCAATGTTCTGGGATTTGAAGAGTTTAAGCAGAAGCGTCCTATAACTCTTCACACCTCTCTAGACTATGTAGAAAATTTGAAGCTTCTATAAAGTGTGTTCAAGGCTTTCATAATTTGAGACTCTATTTTGGATTTCTCTACTCTTATGATATTTTTCTTCTTAAGATTGTATGGATTTCAACTCTATAATCCTCCTTATAATTGTCATAGCTTCGGTTTCAATGCTTGTCATTCTCGATTGCAGTTTTTAGCCTCATTCCCATTTTTCTAGTACGTCTCTGTGGTCTCTGA